GTTTATCGTGGAAAGTGCCTTTAAGGATGAGTAAACGGCCGTCAATCTGTGATAGTGGTGGACCTGTACGTTGCCTGCCTTCAAATTTAATAACTCCAGCTTGCAAGTGCTGATACAAATGAGACACTCTGCCATGGCAAGCGACATCCTTCCTGAATACAATGCAGCTGTTAGCTCCCTCGACTACGGCGGAGTGACCCCACACGGAACACACAGTATGGGACAGGTCCCGTCCAATAATCAGGGATGAAAGCGTTCGAGGTTTTTAGATTTTTTTCTCAGAACATTTGAGCAAGGTGTCGCAGGACGTTCTTTCCAACTTAATTTTTGCTGCATTTTGAATACTATAGGCCGTATATGTAATTTGAGAAAGGAAGCACATTTATTTCAGGGAAATTCGAGACAAGCACGTTAGTCCTCTGGTGTTCGCTGTGTAGAATGTACTGTTTCGTTATGAGCTGCATGGGGTGAGTCTTGGATGTTCAGTTTTCATCTCCTTCAGCTTTTCTTATCTGTTTATCTTTTACGACAGCATTGACTTCCGCTGTAAGTCTAGCTGGGAACATATTTTCAGCGCAGAACAGGGTAATTGCGCGGGGAGCAGCATGTACATAGCTCTTCCTCGCCGCCGACGGTGGCGCATGAGTGCGAGACGCTGCTGTTGTCCCACGGCCACATTTGTGCACGTTGCGCTTGGGTGGGCAAGGGACATTATCGTGATGCGTGAAATGGCGGTGTCAGTACGTCCCCCCTGCCTCGAAGCATTGTCCCCTACCCAAGGTCTCGGTACAAGCTTCCCTCCTTCCCACCCCCCCCCGGGGGAGGGAATGGAGGAGGGATGTAGATAGCCAGTGTGAAACTGGAGAAAAAAATATAACGACCAAATAAATACAACCCCCCCCCCAGCGGCTAAGTAGGACCTCCCCATGTGTTTCACACCACGACGCTGTACCCTCTATATGTAACTTGCAGCCTCACTATGGTTTTCGTGGAGCGCGGTATCGCCAACATTCTTATAGTAGACTATGAAGCAAAGCCACGACGTTATATTGGCATAACTCTCAGCACTTCTGTCATGATATCATCAAGTGTGGCCTCATTCCTGATTACATTTGGTAAGTACACTAGTTTTGTAGATGTTAATATCCTTTTCAGAAAGTTTCTAAAAAAACACCGATGTTCTGGGTGCTTGGGTGAGCGAGAGGGCGTTTTTCTAGTTTCTATCCGTGGAGACATGTAAACTCTTTATGAATCGTCTCAGCTCTACAAGAGTTTACAGGAGAATTTTTTCCAGAATATGCTCCATGGATATTAATAGCGCTTTTGTGTGGTATTTATCAACACTTTGTCAACAGTTGTGAGTCCACTACGATAGTTATTCAATTTCACGGACATTTGAGTTCAGACGTAATCGACTAGTTTCTAATCTTGTCTCATTGTGTCCCGGAATCAGGGGCAACAGGACTCATCTGCTTCTGTTCTGAAATTAGGGACAACACGGCCTGACAAAGGTGCGCTACGCACCGTATTGCAAGATATGATATATTTTAAAAACTTTTGCTTTTCGGGTCTTCCGAGTTTTTAAAATGAATTTTTGGGGTTTCACATTGTTACTACACATTCGAAGGCGGAGTTGGTGTAGTGACAAGTGCGGGTCGACTCCCGCCCGGCGGGTCGACTGGCGCGGGGCGAGAGTCGGTCGGCGGGTCGACTCCCGCCCAGGCCAACCAAGCTTTCTATCTTCCGGGGACGATAAATTGGTACAGATAAACACTGACTTGTACATCGGCTGGCCACCGCAAGTCATTGTATAGGCCACATCGCATTCAATAAGCCACTACGATTCTGAATGGAAGTAGAATGCGTGCCGCATCCCACAAAGGGATTGATCAACGGCGAAGACTTTATCCTTTTGTTGACTACACATTCAGATAAGAAATGAGACTCCGGGACAGCAGAATACTTCAATGCAAAAATTTGTATAATCATTCTGAATTTTACTGTAGTGAGATATGGATTATTTGTATTATGATGGTTCTAACAGATCGCTTATAGCAAGGAGTTCCTGCAAAATATCTATGTAATAATATTATGCTTGGGAAGAGTTTCAAGGAAGTGCGGCGATAGTGCGCACCTCTGAGACAAATTTTTTTTCTCTGCTTTTGCCATGTTAACGAGGTATGGAACAAAACGCTCTTTCTCATAAAGATAGAATAACGCGATTTCCGTGCACCATGCCTTCAAGTGAAGAAGGACCCAATTGGGGACTCCAGGCAAGTAGTCACTGTACACCTCAAAGGCATGTCCTTAAACGCAGTCTCTATTCCACCTGCGCAGGTTGATCTTCAGATTTGCTCATTATTGAATCAATGATTTTCTAATCATTATTTCTAAATTTTGTGATCATTCAAATATTTCAGTTGTTTGCCGCTTTACTATGGAAAAATGAGCGGCGATACAATCGTCTCGTTGTAGAACCAACAATGAACAATGATTCCACTATACAATACACTTTGAGTATTCGATTTCAACTTAACGAGAACATCCGATCAATGAAGGTAAGAAATCATATCATAATGTCTGCTTCAGCTGTGTGCTACTCATTCAGCTCCCACGTAGCGTACAACACGTATTTTCAATCATTTTTAGCCAGCCAAATGACCTGCAAGGTTATGCAGGCTTGGCTCTCCTGGATGAGAAGGTTCGAAAATCAGTCAAAAAATGTCAAAAAAAGATTATGTGATAGTTCCTCCGCTTGAGCGAGAGACCTTCTGAAGACTCACTACGCGGATTTTCAAGCGTGAGTTGCACGGTGTAAAAACGAGTGTGTTAGTATCAACCCGGCCTCGGCTGAATTCAAGAACTGGAAGACTATCTGAAGAAGTAAAACAAACCAGGAAGCACACGAGACACCCAGCAAGCGAAAGATGAGAGAGCTTATAGACATACAAATAAAAGCGCTGTTTGGGTGAAGTTTGCCTATAGAAGGCGCTGTCAGAGTGGGGTGAGACTGTATCGTTCTTATCCGCACTTTTGTATGGCGAATCGGTGCACCATATGAGATAGCGGAGCTTTGGATGTAGAGTGACCGGGTGCAGCGAGAAAGCAGTGCTACTTGGCTGATGCCTGCAAACGCAGAAACCTAATGCTCCTGGAATGTTCAGCGCTGGCGAAAAACTGTCGGTTAGTTATGTGCACGTGAAGCCTCTCCGTGGATCTATGGTTACCTAAGTGATTGATCTTGTACATAGTGCTGCATAACTAGACACGAATGAATATGATATCCATATGATAACTAACCGATAATATGACATGAAAATACTTCATAAAACAAACACGGCAAAATGGAAAGCTAGACTAGTTGGAATAAGGCTTGATTGGCGGAATATCAAGGACTCATCGGTATAGAGACAATAAAGGAACGGCACCGGTCCATCGAACCAGGCATAATACGCGGGACTACCGCTCAACCAAAGGAGACATGACCTCTCAAGAGGATGATGACATGAATAGGACTGAACTGTCCGACGGGGCCGGAGCCACGCCAGCTGAGGCCAGGGATGCAGAGTGGTTTCCCGCGTCTTCGCACCTTGCACCGTTCAAAATGAAATTGGCGCTGCGTGGTAATAGTTGGAGCTGAATTTCATCCGCGCTATCATAGACGTTTTCAGTGTCGTACGCAAGTCAGACACTATGCGTGAAATTAATTGTATACACCACACAAGCAGTGTGTCGGAATGGTTCTCAGTGGATCTCAACAGAAGACATTCCTTATTCTTTTTTTATTGAGTACTGATATAATTTAATGAGTGAATAGTTCAGCTGCTACAAACTATGGTGTTCTTCTGTACGGTATCGAACTTCTTTTGCTTTCTGCTCGTGGCTGGAGTTCATATCGATTGGATGCACCTTGGTTCTGACGTCATCGCTCATTATTTGGACGCCATCCTTAACCTCTATATTGTTATGTTAGTTTTAAGACATTCATCAAGTGATACCCTTCTCTTTCGAGACTGTACCAAAACAGTTATAGAATGTTCGTATGAGAATTAGTGGAAAACTCGAGGGGATCTATAGGAGAGCAGTTTCATTAATAAAATGTGTAATTTTCTGAAGAGGGTACCTGTCTGGTTTCCTGCGGATGATGGGACGTCTCAGTGTGGCTGCGTTTGGCACGGCGCCAAATCCGTTCACACCAGTTGCTGAAGCAGGCCAGCATTAAAGCGTGTTCTGTCGATCGCTCTTGTTTCCATCAATGATTGTCGTTAACCTGCTCTAACAATTGGTGAAAAGCGGGTTTGGCACGCGCCAAACGCAGCCGCACTAACACACCCCATCATCCGCAACGAACCAAACTACACTCATGCCATAACTCGCGCTGCCTTGAAATTCTATTCTTCACCACTAGATTCTACGTGAAATATTTCAAGGCAATAGAAATTTACATCTCACCTCTAGATTCTACGTGAAATATTTCAAGGCAATAGAAATTTACATCTCAAGGTTTGTCCCTGGATGTCAGGAGATCCACGTTGCGGCAGCGAGCAGAGCTAGCTGGTTTTAACGGTGCATCTGACAAGTGAACCTTGAATTCATAATGGTCCGTTGATTGATAACTTGCGCCTTTTCTCAGTTGCAGCAAATAAGCGTTGCATGTAAGGGGACGTAAGCAGCCGAACCTAGGACCCAATCCACTCAACACCTAAGCGGCACTGCAAGTCAGCTTTATACGCTGACTCGTACTGCGATGTGGCGGCTGGAGATCAATGCATCCGCACCCTACCTAGGGCTACCCTAGGGCTCCAGCTGACAATTCTTCTTCGCTGGTTCCACTCATTGAGCATGGTGGAGGGATTGGGAATTGCGTGCTCACCTATCTAAAATTTTTTTCAGAGGCTCTTCTTACACAGAAAGGAACCGTAGGTATCAATATGATCAGGGATTCCATATTAATTAGGAATTCTTTCAGATATGCTGCCTTGATACCTATTATCGGTTATTACAGTGACGACGCCTATAAAACTATTGTGAGAGCAACTCCAGCAATTGGCAAGTCTTTAACGTTCCTGTTCATTCCAGTCTTTAATGTTCCTGTTCGTTCCATGTTCTTCCACTTTGCTTGGGTGGGCGAAGCATGGCATGTCAAACAGGCCCCGCCTCCACCCATAGAAGCCATTTTTCTTACTGCATGAGAGTTTCAGGTCGGTTCTTTGACGAGCAGAAGATTCTTCCGGAGCGCACGACTGCTGAGGAAGGCCACATCTATTTTGTCAATCTGCAAAAGCAATGGAATGCGACTGGTCCTGCGAAAAAATCGAAAAGAAAATAAATTGTTGTCTATGAAAGTGCCGTTCACGTATTTCTACACTTTAATGAAATTTTTGGTCCCTAGCAGAAAAAAGAAAATTCATCGGACCGAGGTAGTTAGAAGGTGCAACGTAAGCAGGCATAATGTGTTGCGATCCCTCTTCCATCTACATTTGCCCGTCCAGAAACATTTATTCATCTAGGCGATAACAGTGTAAATAGACATTGCACATAGTTCTCTGACAAGAGGAAATGCTCTCCTCATCTCATCAACCGAGGGCTTGGTGAGACCTCTCAGCATGAAAACTACTTTGAGGAGACTTGAAAACATGTTTCTTGGCCGAGAGACCAGTCGTACAGAAGCCTCGCACCTGATCCTTGCGTCAGAGGGTTGACCTGAGCGGTCCTCTGATAGGCCTGAAGTATGAAACGTAGCAAGCAAGAGAAGAGAAGAAAAAAAAATCTTAAAGCGCTTTATGCAAAGTGTGTCTGAAAGGTGATCAGAAGGGTCTCCCTTCCCTAGTACCCTTGGACGCCGGAAACAATAGGGGAGAAACCAAAGAAAAAAAAACTGGAGTTGCTCGCAAAAGGCAAAGAAACGGAGGAGTGGTTGGCGACTAAGGTGTTAAACATCCACCCTAACAACCCTCCGGGACAAAACACTCACGCTGCCATAGGAAGAGAAGCTCGCTAACAAGAAGAGGAATGCAGAAATGAATAGCTAGTATGATAAAATCAAATGTTGCCAGCAAAAGAAAACCGTTGGCTTAACATAAAAAGAAACCTTTCGGTGAGCATGTGCAAGCTACAACTCTGGCCAGTAGTCCTGACAGGGGCATGCCCCCGAAATCACAGATAGTCGAAAATTTGACTGTACTAAAAGCAAGTGTAGCTCACCTCCGACATGTGGAGCGTCCTCCTGCTACCAGTAAGTACAGGGGGCAAATAAGAGTTTATTTGCGACGGAATAGCAGGACAGGATACTGAGGACGTGCTCGGCGACAGGGAGGTCCCTTGGGCCTGAGGGTGGCATAGGCAAGTGTGTCCAAAGAGAGTGTCCAGCAAGAACGGTCATCTACTAGGCTAAGCTCAATATCGATTCTTCCTTTCCTTAACTCTCACAGTAACAAGTAATGCCACTGCTTATAAGTCTCGTCAGAGAAGCGCGAGGGATCAAGGGAACTTCTCAAATAGTGCACATATTGAGAGCCGAGAACAAAACTGTCGACACGACAGCGTATGAAAAATTTCGTAAGGCAGCGTCCTCTACCAACTCTCTTATTTATTTATTTATTTATTTATCATGCACGCATAGGTGCGCTAACAATGTGAGCGAAATACGTCGAATTAGAGGATAAACAACAACACGATAAAAAAACACAAATTCGGTCACACAAATACAACCAAGGGGAGAGCTCTCTAGAATGCAAGTTTCAGGAATCCTGTATGCTAACAAGGCCACTTAAGTCAACGTTCATCAGTTTTTTGAACGCATAGAGTTATTCATCTTCCGCAGGTCTGATGGAAGCAATACGAGATATCTCGCTCCACGGAAAAAAATGAATCACAATCTTCATTTCGATGGTTGGGACATTGTAAGGACAACGAAGTGATGCGGCCATTTGTCGGATTGAACACCCTGTATTACTGGGTTTTAGCCTTACTTCTGCTACCACCCCTTAAATCCTCTTTCTACCACTTTTCCGAGGTTTTTTCCTAAAAACTGTTGTCGCGTGGGGAAAGGGTATACAGCGCCTTTGGAAGCCAACAACCGAAAACGATTTCCAGAAGACCGAATGAATACGACCTCCCCCTCTCCAGCGATGGAATACGACCTCCTCCTCGAGGAGGTACTGGTTTATCGGCAGCCTGTTAGATACCTCTACACAAGTCACTCTCTTCTCCCACGCGTTCAGTTGATTAGCTGTAGCGATGGGCTGCTGTGCTCGCCCTGCCACGAAACGACTCTGAACGGGACCCCAGAACTGTACGCGAGGTTAGCGGCACAGCTTCCCACTACATCACCTTCACATGCCATTTGACAGTGTGGAGGGGGAGGAAGAAAGGAGCCAGTACGATCCTGACGATGGCTGCGCATCGCGTATCGCGTGGATGCAGAGAGGGAACCCTTCACCAGCCCCATCATGGAAATGGGGTAAACGGCAGTGTTAGTGCAATACCTAGCTGGCAGTACTTCGGTTGCCCTTGCCTCTAGAACAGCCCTTTACAAACTTACCTCACTAATTCTTCTTAATTTTCATTACATTACTACTTTCAATTCACCATGTGATAACCATTGAGTAGTGTACATGAAGTAAGTACATGAAGCAGCTTTCCCCGATCCTTCCACACTGTTTCACATTTGCGCCTTCCCCTCCCTCCCTCGCCCCCCGGTGGAGCAACTACGCCTCTCTTCTCGCTGAGGATCAGTAATAATGTGCCCCGCCCTCCAGGCCAGCTGAGCATTCTACCTGAGTATCTACTTAGTTTTTTAGTGAGGGGAAGCTGGTGTAGTGGCAAGTAGGCACGCTTACCACGCGCGCGGCGCGGGGTTCAAATCCCGGGTCGACTCCCGCCCAGGCCAACCAAGCCTTCTACCCTCCGGGGACGGTAAACGGTACCAGATTCGTCTGGGAGGATAAGAACACTGACTTGTACATCGGCTGGCCCCGCAAGTCATTGTATAGGCCACATCGCATTCAATAAGCCACTACGATTCTGAATGGAAGTAGAATGCGTGCCGCATCCCAAAAAGGATTGACCAGCGGCGAAGACTTCATCCCCTCCTCTTCTCTCTACTTAGTAATAGAAAAAGTAATAACATATGGACTCTTCGTTGCATTCACCAAGAACTCCTGAGTTTGTGGCATCTCATTAGGCAGCCCTCTTCGGCGAGTATTGAGGATTTGTCCCTCTTACGCACCAGTTTTCACATGTTGCACTTTAGGCCGTTGGGCAGCACGTGACGATCGATCGACCAGCGTTAAAAATGCCCGGCTGGGGCTTTCGTCGTTTTCTTTCTGCCTCTCTTCTGCCTGTTTCAATAATGGAAAAGAGTGCAATACCCAAAAAACTCCTTGAGCGGCGAAAAACTCGAAGTGAACTTCGAACTCTCCAGTCTCCTTAGAAACTATAAGCTACGGTAGAAAGCCGTAGAAAGGACTTGAACAGACATCATGTTACCGATCTGGTGGTTACGCTACGCGGTTACAACGTCAGGGCGAACCCTCGCTTAATGGCTCTTGCCTCGGTTTCCATTTCAGGTGGTTGTACCACTTCAAGGACCGAAAATACGACCGATAACATGGTGCCGCAGTAGTTTGTGCATCAAAGGGGGGCCAGAAGTGGAGAACATTCCGGAAAACAAAAGTTTCAATATTGGTCGTGTGGTGAAAAACAATTCAATTCAAACCACCAAAAGTAATAAAGCGGGAGAAATCGAAGGCTAAGGTGTTCTACCACGGAAGTGAGTACGACTCCCGCCCCCTCTCCGCCTCGCACCACATGTGAGTTCCACTACGGCGAATGCGTGACTGAGCGCTGGTAAGGGGAGAAAAAGCAAAGAGCTGATAATTAATGGTGATTGACATGGAACTCGAGAATTCCAACGCCCCTGGCCTGCTATATGTTGGTAGGCAAGGCACTCGAGTAAATTCTGACTTGAAAGAAATCCCCCTAAGATCGCATACTGATCCTGGCTTCGGGATATGCACGAGTACGGAAGGGAGATGACGAAGGAGGCCCTACCTACCTTTTCCTGCCCTACCTCTGGGCCTGAACTTTGATTTGTCTGGAAATTCGTCTCCAGTGTTTAGCGACCGGCGCCGTGACCGTAAAACACCACAACGGAACAAAATCGCCAATGTCGCGCGGGCCAGAAATGATCATCCAGACGGTGGATTACTTTGCACAAACATCACGTCCATTTAACCCGAAATCGGCTGAGGGTATACCATGCCGCACGACCGGTTACCTGTGTTTCGATGCCAGGTCATGTAACGCGGACCTAAGCAGTTTCTCGCCGAAGCAGCCGTTGGTAGCACACGGCTGGGTAAGGCCGCTCTGGCCGGTCCTGGCAGCAGACGGACCCTCCGCTCTTCCCGGTCACTCGCATAGTAATCCCAACCTCTGCTAAGGTTAGGTATTAGTAGAACAGGAATCACTAACTCACAGTAAAGGGGCGCATGAGCAGAAAAGACCCACACCTGTCTCTCCCACCCGTTCCACATCCTTATTCAACAAGAGACACACTTCCAGCGAATTAATTGATTTCAGGTACTTTAGAGGCTGTTCGAGGGCGCCACGCGGTTCCATGACAAACGGATGTGATATCGTGTTAAGGGGGTCAAATGAGCTCTTGGACAAATCTTAAGCCAAATCTACCTTTTGAGAACAAAGTCGGTAAAAAAGGCCCGCTTCTTGAGGAATGGGGCAGTGAAGAGTGAATAAAGTCGAGGATGTTCTGCATATAACGCGGTCACGAGAAAGTGATCCTCTCGTCCCCTACCCCCGTCCTCATCCCCTCAGTCGAAGCATGTATCAGTTGTCGACAACAGGTAACAAAGAGGATCGTGTAAAGAAAAGGGCTGCAGTATGATGAGGGTACATCATAAGAGCCTGACATCACAGCTCCCTCTTCCCCCTTCCCAGCAGGATTCTCTAGCCACAGCTCCACTTACTTGCGGTTCATTCATGCAACTTGACCCTATCTGTCTGTGAAAGAAGCAGTCTGGAGAAAAGCTGTAAACCGTGCCATCTGTTTTCTCACATTTCACACCTCATAGGGTGAGAAGCTGGCACTGGAACGTGGCCGTCGGCCGGATTCCTGAGAAATTCCTTGACCCTCTTTGGAGGCTGGAATAAACGACAAATAGATGACTTACCCTCCTAATGGGTTCGCTCGCGTCCGATCAGCATGTTTTGTCATGTGCTTTTGCAAGTAGGTGGCCTGGGTGTAGGATTTTCCACAGAACGGACAGATGTGCACCTGAATGCGAGTATTGAGCACGAATGTTCAAAACA